CACCCTTTGCCTTGATGAGAGCTTTGCACACTCTTGGCATTCTCTCAACCAGCTTCATGAGGTAGTCATCTGGAATGCATTTCAATTAACAGGTGTGCCTTGTTAAAAGTTAATTTGTGGAATTGATTTCCTTCTTAATGCATTTGAGCCAATCAGTTGTGTTGTGACAAGGTATGGGTGGTATACAGAAGATAGCCCTATTTCGTAAAAGACCAAGTCCATATTATGGCAAGAACAGCTCAAATAAGCAAAGAGAAATGACAGTCCATCATTACTTTAAGACATGAAGGTCAGTCAATACGGAAGAACTTCGCAAAAACCATCAAGCGCTATGATGAAACTGGCTCTCATGAGGACCACCACAGGAAAGGAAGACTCAGAGTCACCTCTGCTGCAGAGGATAAGTTCATTAGAGTTACCAGCCTCAGAAATTGCAGCTCAAATAAATGCTTTACAGAGTTCAAATAACAGACACATCTCAACATCAACTGTTCAGAGGAGACTGCGGGAATCAAGCCTTCATGGTTGAATTGCTGCAAAGAAACCACTACTAAAGGACACCAATAATAAGAAGATACTTGCTTGGGCCAAGAAACACGACCAATGGACATTAGACAGGTGGAAATCTGTCCTTTGGTCTGATGAGTCCAAATTTGAGATTTTGGGTTCCAACCGCTGTGTCTTTGTGAGACAAAGAGTAGGTGAACGGATGATCTCTGCATGTGTAGTTCCCACCGTGAAGCATGGAGGAGGAGGTGTGATGGTGTGAGGGTGCTTTGCTGGTGACACTGTCTGTGATTTATTTAGAATTCAAGGCACACTTAACCAGCATGGCTACCACAGAATTCTGCAGCGATACGCCATCCCATCTGGTTTGGGCTTAGTGGGAATATCATTTGTTTTTCAACAGGACAATGACTCAACACACCTCTAGCCTGTGTAAGCGCTATTTGATCAAGAAGGAGAGTGATGGAGTGCTGCATCAGATGACCTGGCCTCAACCCAATTGCGATGGTTTGGGATGAGTTGGACCGCAGAGTGAAGGAAAAGCAGCCAACAAGTGCTCAGCATATGTGGGAACTCCTTCAAGACTGTTGAAAAAGCATTCCAGGTGAAGCCCGGTGCACCCCGTACCTGCACCTCGCACCAAACCAGTGGTGCGTGTCTCCAGTCCGGTACGGCCTGTACCTGCTCCTCGCACCAAACCAGTGGTGCGTGTCCCCAGCAAGGTATGGCCCGTAACTGCTCCTCGCATCAAACCAGTGGTGCGTGTCCCCGGCCTGGTACGGCCCGTGCCTGCTCCTCGCACCAAACCAATAGTGAGTGTCTCCAGCCCGTGCGCCCCGTAACTGCTCCTCGCACCAAACCAGTGGTGCGTGTCTCCAGTCCGGTACGGCCCGTACCTGCTCCTCGCACCAAACCAGTGGTGCGTGTCCCCAGCCTGGTACGGCCCGTACCTGCTCCTCGCACCAAACCAGTGGTGTATGTCCCCAACCCGGTACGGCCCGTGCCTGCTCCTCGCACCAAACCAGTGGTGCGTGTCCACAGCCCAGTGCGTCCTGTGCCAGCGCCCCGCACTGGCACGAAGCCTCCAGTGATGATCCATGGCACAAAGCCTCCAGTGATGATCCATGGCACGAAGCCTCCAGTGATGATCCAGTGATGATCCATGACCTGGCCTCAACAATCACCCAACCTCAACCCAATTGCGATGGTTTGGGATGAGTTGGACCGCAGAGTGAAGGAAAAGCAGCCAACAAGTGCTCAGCATATGTGGGAACTCCTTCAAGACTGTTGAAAAAGCATTCCAGGTGAAGCCCGGTGCGCCCCGTACCTGCTCCTCGCACCAAACCAGTGGTGCGTGTCTCCAGTCGTGCCTCCAGTGATGATCCATGGCCCGAAGCCTCCAGTGATGATCCATGGCACGAAGCGTCCTGTGATGATCCATGGCCCGAAGACTCCAGTGATGGTCCATGGCCCGGAGCCTCCTGCGATGGTCTGCAGTCCAGAGTCTCCAGCTCCGGTCAGCTGCTTTACTCCTGTGCCAGAGCAGTCCGCTCCACCGTAGCCTAGTCCAGCTCCGGTCAGCTGCTCCACTCCAGTGCCAGAGAAGTCCGCTCCACCGGTGCCTAGTCCAGCTCCGGTCAGCTGCTCCACTTCAGTGCCAGAGCAGTCCGCTCCACCGGTGCCTAGTCCAGCTCCGGTCAGCTGCTCCACTTCAGTGCCAGAGCAGTCCGCTCCACCGGTGCCTAGTCCAGCTCCGGTCAGCTGCTCCACTCCAGTGCCAGAGCTGTCCGCTCCACCATTGCCTAGTCCAGCTCCGGTCAGCTGCTTCACTTCAGTGCCAGAGCAGTCTGCTCCACCGGTGCCTAGTCCGGGTCCGTTCGTCTACTCTTCCCCCATGCCGGAGCCATCCACTCCACCGTGGTCCGAGCCGGAGCCAGACGTCAACCCCTCTCCAGGGTAGGGGTCTCCCACACCAGGGTCCAGACTGGACTTGGTGCATCGCGGGAGGACTGCTGGGCCGGGACCAGACGTCAGCCCCTCTCCAGGGTCGAGGGCTCCCACACCAGGGTCCAGACAGGGCTTGGTGCATTGTGGGAGGACTGAGAGGGGGAGCATCGCGCCAGGGTCCAGACCGGACCGGGCGTGCAAAGGGGAGGCAGGAGGGGAGAAGAGTTTATTGCCTACGTCACGTCCGAAGCCGGAGCCGGATCCGCCACTGAGGCTAGATGCCCACCTGGACCCTCCCCTAATGAGTCAGGTTTTTGCAGCCGGAGTCCGCACCTTTTGGGGGGGGGGGGGGGGGGGGGGTACTGTCATGCCCTGACATTGAGATCTCTAGTTGGGTTGGTCAGGGTGTAAAATCTAATTTATATATTTCTATGTTGGCCGGGTGTGGTTCCCAATTAGAGGCAGCTGTCGGTCGTTGTCTCTGATTGGGGATTATACTTAGGCAGCCATGTTGCCTACCTTAGTTGTGGGATCTTGTTTCTGTTTGGCTTGTTTGATGTTTAGCCTCTTGAACGTCACCTTCTGTTGGATTTTGTTATTTTGTCTGTGTTTATTAAAATAAACGACTATGTACGCATACCACGCTGCACCTTGGTCTGATCCTTTACACAACGAACGTGACACTAGGAGCAATTCCATGGAATTACGCTTAGACTCAGATGTTTCACTTTAAAATGTATACCAAACAAAAACCATTGGTTTCAAAGTTAAACAAACCATATGTACAAGGACTTCTTTAAAGAATTTCCACTGAACATTTTACAAAAACACATTTACAGGACAAACTGTTTATGTTTTATTTACTGTGTAAATTGTTAAAAGTAGTCAGTCATTGTGTGTGCATAGAGTTGTATGTTAAACTTTGAAATCAGTGGTTTTTGTTTGGCAACCTCCCGAGTGGCGCAGTGGTCTAAGGCACTGCATCGCAGTGCTAATTGTGCCACTAGAGATCCTGGTTCAAATCCAGGCTCTGTCGCGCCCGGGAGAACCATGGGGCGGCACACAATTGTCCCAGGGTAGGGGAGGGAATGGCCGGCAGGGATGTAGTTCAGTTGCATTGCCAGGGTTGTGGGTTTGATTCCCATGGGGGGCCAGTATGAAAAAAGTATGTATGCACTCACTAACAGTAGGTCGCTCTGGATAAGAGCATCTGCTCAAATGTAATGCATACATTTTAAAGTGAGTCTCAGCGTAATTCAATTACTGTGGAATTGCCCCTAGGTATACTGTGTTTAGTGTTGGTTACAGATGTTGTGTTACACAGACACCACCTTGTCCAACAGCTCGCTAGTGACATACAGTGGCCTAGTGTACATAGACACTAATCCTCTCTATCTCTGCCTCTCATTATCGGTCACTACTCTCTCTCTCTCTCTCTCTCTCTCTATCTTCCCCCCTCTTTCTCTATCTATCTATCTACCCCTCCTCCCTCCCTCCCTCCCTCCCAGTCTCTGAGCTCATGTGTTGATCTACTGTCAAATCTTCCAGAATTATCTGTAATCCCGGAGCTGCAGAATCTGTTTGCTGACAGCTGTGTTCTCAAATATTACTACTACTGCCATGCACACACTACCCTATATACCAGAACCAGAGCGAGATGGAGAGAGAGAGAGAGAGAGAGAAAGAGAGAAATAGAGAGAAAAAGAGAGCGAGAGAGAAGGAGAGAGGAGAGGCAGGCAGAGACAGAGAGAGTGAGAGGGATAGAGAAGCAGAGACAGAGAGAAAGAGAGAGAGAGAGACAGAGAGAGACAGAGAGAGAGAGACATAGAGAGAGAGAGAGACAGAGAGAGAAAGAGTGAGAGAGAGAGAAGGAGATAGGGTACATAGATGGTGGTATATACAGTAGGATAAATTATCTCTACAGGGGCATTGATATCCCTGGGGGGTGGGTGGGGGGGGGTTCCCCCCATTACCCAATCATCTTCAGGGGAATCAGTCTGCGTCCCAAATGGATTTGAAAGTTTAGTTCATAATGTTGCATATCGGTCATTCGGCTATTAGCTGGCCAAAAGTAGTGCAATACTGTTCATATAACCGTCTGTTAGTGTGGGCTTTCAGTTAATTTATGTAAATCACAAAGCTCTTTTGCATTTCCTGTGGTGCAGGCAAGTGTTCAATCATAATGTTAGCATGTGATCTTTCTGCATATGGGCAGATTACAGTAAAAATAGGAAATGAAAATGGAAATTGGATTCATATGTTTAAAATACAACCAACATATTATATAAAACCCCATATTATACAAAAACCCATATAATAGAAAACCCATATAATATTCCATTAAACTACATTTGAATTTGGAATAGAACCTAGAATCTCGAAAAGTGATAAATACATTATCATACTTCTCTCTTTCTCTTTTTCACCTCTCCTCTTATTGAGTGTATTGTCCCTATCAGGCTGTCTTCTTGTCTGCTACATATTATACAACAGTTTTAAAAAACATATAGCTTTATTTCATATATGGACCTAGGGTATTGTCCCTAATGGTCTCTCTTCTCCTCCACTCCCTCCAGGTGGTCTACAAGAATAACGACATCCGTCTGGAGCTCTCCCGTCTGGCCCGCATCGTAGACCCCAAGATGAAGCTCCAGGGTGACGTGGTGTTTAAGTGTGAGAATGTGGCAACCCTGGACCCTATCAACTTTGAGAGCCCTGACTCCTACCTCAGCCTGCCCAAGTGGAACACCAAGAGGATGGGCTCCATCTCCTTCGACTTCAGGACCTCAGAGCCCAACGGACTAATACTGTTCACCCACGGCAAGGTATACTAACTAATGAAATACCCTGATGAAGGTCTATTGAAGACCCACATTTAGGTTTAATGATGTTTGTAAGATAAGATCACCAGTGTGCTGGAGTTCTGTTTCTAGTAAGTATATCAATGTAAAAGAAAGTCACACACTCATATTTCCTTGCTGTGGATTTATTTGACCAAGGTTTTGGCTAAAGAGCCTTGATGTAGAGCTTTAGGAAAAACATTGGTCATTCATTTGTATAGTTTAACTTCCCATTAGTCAGCAGACTCAGTACGTCACCTAATTTCCAGGCCCAGGACCGGCGGGACGCAGCAGGGAAGAAGAACAACAAAGTAGACTTCTTTGCAGTAGAGCTGCTGGATGGAGGGCTGTATCTGCTGCTGGACATGGGCTCAGGCACTATCAAGGTCAAAGCCACCCAGAACAAGGTCAACGATGGAGCCTGGCACCACGTGGACATACAGAGGGATGGACGATCAGGTGAGGAGAGAGGGGTGGTGGGGTGGAGTGGGAGGAGGACGAGGAGGAGGAGGGGGTAGGGCTATTGCGGTGACCATATTACCGCCACACCGGCAGTCATGAGTCATGACCGCCGTAAAATTCCACGTGATCGTTGAGTCACGGTAATCCCCTTTTATGCACTCTGGACATGCATTGGTAGTACCCAACTCACTAACGACCATCATGTTGCTAATGGCCTGGTACTCAGGGCTCTATTGTCCCTCTAACCACTCTGACATCAATGCAAATGCAATCAAAAATCACATCAAACACTTATCATCAAAACAGTACAGTATCATGCTTTTAAAACTCACCTCACTGGGATGATCAATTTGAAGAAAGAACTTCAACAACAGGTTGAAACTGAGTGGAAAACATGGTCATTGTGGATGTTGTTTCAAAGCCTAACACAACAAAATGGACAGCGCTTTCTAAGGTGATGGTTAATTCAAAACACTATATGCATATTAGAGCTAATGCATACATTGAGTATACAAAACATTAAAAACACCTGCTCTTTTCATTACATAGACTGACCAGGTGAATGCTATGATCCCTTTTTGATGTCACTTGTTAAATTCACTTAAATCAGTGTAGATGAAGAGACACATTTACATTACATTTTAGTCATTTAGCAGATGCTCTGATCCAGAGCGACTTACAGTTAGTGAGTGCATACATTTTTCATACTGGCCCCCCGTGGGAATCGAACCCACAACCCTGGCGTTGCAAGCGCCATGCTCTACCAACTGAGCTACAGGAGGCCACACACGTTAAAGAAGGATTTTGAAGCCTTCAGACAACTGAGACATGGATTGTGTATGTGTGCCATTCAGAGGGTGAATGGGAAAGACAAAATATTTAAGTGCCTTTGAATGGGGTATGGCAGTAGGTGCCAGGCGCACCGGTTTGTGTGGGTTTTTCACGCTCAACAGTTTCCCGTGTGTGTCAAGAATGGTCCACCACCCAAAGGACATCCAGCCAACTTGACACAACTGTGGGAAGCATTGTAGTCAGCATGGGCCAGTATCCCTGTGGAACGCTTTCGACACCTTATAGAGTCCATTCCCTGATGAATTGAGGCTGTTGTGAGGGCATAAGGGGGGGCAACTCAATATTAGGAAGGTGTTCATAATGTTTGGTACACTCAGTGCATATGTTTATGCATATGCATAGGCCTATATATGAGCACAAGCCTGAAAAAAAACCCTGAATTAAAATAATGATTGGGCCGTTATACAATACATAGACTACCGCATATTACGCATTGCAGAAAAATATATATTTTTAATGATTTAAGATGTCTTTGGTACATAATTGGTTTAGCCTTCCCAAATGAAGCACTGGGTAGCTGCAGGAACAGGGTTGGAGAACCCATGGCATGCAGAGTTTGGGCAGAATATCACCTGTCTGCCAGCGATAGGCTGCATGCTCCTCAAACAGTGGTTGATGGTTGGAGTGAAATAACCGGAGTAGCCTACCAGCATGATTAAAAAACCTACCGGCAGCTAGTGATGACATGTCTTGTTTCCCCTGTCCCTGTTCCTGTCCATTTGATAATGGGACATTCTAAATCGAATAATTTTACATAATTTAACATAAAGACAAGATTAAATTCAGAATAGTCTGATGGGTGAAAATATGATCACTTGATGAGAGAACAGCGTGTGGAGCCTGAGGCAAGGAACAGAGCGGAAGCTTTTTTTGCAACTTTCTCAAATCATCAATAGCCTATAGTCACATCATGCAGCCCATATATGTTTTGATTTCTAAGGTTTGTATAATTCAAAACTAAAGTTGGCAAATAACTAAATCTAGCTTATAGGACCTGTTTCAAATGATCACTTTTATGCTCAACATACCCATATGCCCACTCGCTCCGGAAAGGGACCGCTAAGTTCAATTATATTCTTACTATAAAATCATATAAATAAGGGATAATCAATGAGGGGCTATGCATTCTATGGAAAATAACACACCTTCCACGGAGTTCCATTATTTTCCAGAGAACGCATAGAGCCCCAAGGCAATAATTTAACACATTTGCTGCTAGAAATGTGTTCAACATCCACTGAAGTAGCTAACAAGTTTAGATAGCTACAGTAGTTGCCCTGGTAACCAAGCAAATATACTTGCTAGTTTAGCTAACCAAACCATCAGTCCTAGCTTGCTATTATGAAAATTGAATTCAACAATGGCAATAATGTTTTCAATTCGACATTTGCTTTCAAAAGCAGCTCAAACATAGAACATGTAAGAATTAACTATAGCCATTGAGTTCTACCGTGCTGATATACCGTGCATTATAGGGAATTATAGTATAGTACTGAACGTGTCGGTAGTCGGGATGAGACAGACAGGCAGGCAGCATTTCTCAGCCAGTCGAAATCATGAATCAGCATAATTGTTATGGATATATACAAAGAACTATCAATAGAGAACAGGTCAAACGAAACAAAGTGCAGCTAGTTAGCAGTCTTTCCAGCTTCAGTTTGAAGTAATTGTGTTACTTTAGCTGTGTTGTTGGCTAGCTCTCGAACAACAGAGCACATTTTCTATGCCAGGTGAAATCGCGCAACATTAGCTCATTGTTATGGATGTATCCAAATAAATGTCACTAGAAAACAGCTTAAACAAATGCAGCTACTTTGTTGTTATTCTGGCTGCACTGTTTGACGTGACTGTAAGTTAGCCGTAGTTGGCTAGCTAGCAAGCAAGGGATAAGAACGTTGCTAGCCAGTACGGCAATGGAACATTTGAACGAATGACTGGGTCGCGTCCATAGATACAGAACAAAAATACTGAACAACTCTGGCAACCGAACCGATAGAACGAATGACCAGCCGGCTTGGGTAGCAACCCTAGATTTGTGTCAGGACTATATCTTGTGGAAGGATGAAATAGTATAAAAATAAAAATGTTAATGAAAATATGTCAATCATTATTTGAATATGTTGGTAACCCGTTGTATAAAAGTGATAATGCCATCGAAGCCAGTGTATGAAGGACATAGTAACACGGTTTTCCTGCCCTCGACTTCGTCTTGGACCTAACAACACCCGGGCCAATATATCATCCAAACACCGGATTTTCTGGCATTATCACTTAAATATTGCACGCTCTTCAAGCCCTTCAAGCTAATCAGAAACGAGTTTTCAACAATGCCATGGCATAATTAAGCAAAAACGCACGACAGGGTGTGATATATGCCAGTCTTTGCATGACAATAACCGGCTGACATAATTTCATGACCGCCACATCCTTAGGAGGGGAAAGGATGGGGGGTGGTGGTGGTGGAGGAGAATGGTGATGATCATTGTAAAACTCCTCAGAATATACATCAAAGCCATCATACTATTGCACGATTTGCAGAAGTATTTCTACATTGTCCACAATGTGTATAAAACTTAAGAGAAACTGTATCTTGAGGATGTAGGGATAGTACATTTATCATGAGGATGATAAAGCAAAACCTTTAAAATCCTATTTCCTGATTATATTTCCTCCACAGCTTGTTTATCCTGTGTGTACACTGACCTGAAAAAGGTTGGACAAACAGAACAGAACAGAGAGGAGGGGAGCTTTAGAGAGGATGATTATATTGGCGCCAAAAGGGTTGGAGATGAGAGAGTCTATTGTTGCCTTGAGCTCCATAACAGAATGGATTCACCACATTAAAAGGAAAAGGGGAAAGTGAGAAGAAGAGAGAGAGAGAGAGAGAGAAACGACAGATATAAGAGAGAGAAACCACAGAGAAGGAAGAGAAATATACAGAGAGAAAGAGATAGAACCTACATAGAGAAAGAGATAGAACAGACGAGAGAAAGAGAGAGACCAGACAGAGATAAAGAGAGAGAAACAGACAAGAGAAAGAGAGAGAAACAGACAGAGAGAAAGAGACGAGAAACAGACATAGATAAAGAGAGAGGACGACAGAGGAAAGGAGCTAAATACATACAGAGGGAAAGAGAGAGAACGACAGAGAGAAATAGAGAAACACAGACAGAGAAAAGAGAGATAAATGACAGAGAGAAAGAGAAGAAACATACAGAGAGAAAGAGATAGAACATACAGAGAGAAAGAGAGATAACGAAGATAGAAGAGATAGAAACAGACAGAGATAAAGAGAGGAAAACAGACAGAGATCAAGAAGAGAAACAGACAGAGGGGAAAGAGAGAGAAAGACAGAGAGAAGAGAAGAACAACAAGAGAAAGAGAGAGAAAAGACAGAGAGAAAGAGAGAGAAACAGACAAGAAAAGAGAGAAACACGAGAGAAAGAAGAAACAGACAGAGAGAAAGAGAGAGAAAGACAGAGGAAATAGAGAAACAGACAGAGAGAAAAGAGAAAACAGCAGAAGAAATAGAGAGAACAGACAGAGAGAAAGATAGAAAACAGACAGAGAGAAAGAGAGAAACAGACGAGAGAAAGAGAAGAAACAACAGAAGAAAGAGAAAAGATAGAAGAGAGAAGAGACAGAGAGAAGAGAGAGAAACAGACAGAGAGAAAGAGAGAAAACAGACAGAGAGAAAGAGAGAGAAACAGACGGAGAAATGAGAAAGACAGAGAAAGAAGATACAGACAGAGAAAGAGAGAGAAACAGACAGAGAGAAAGGAACAGAGAAAAAGAGAGAGAACATGACAGAGAGAAATAGAGAAAACAGACCAGAGAAGAGAGAGTAAACAGACAGAGAGAAAGAGAGAAAACAGACAGAGAAAAGAGAGAGAAACATACAGAGAAGAGATAAAAAGAGAAAAGAGAGAAATAGAGAGAAACGACAGTAGAAAAAAGAAACAGACAGAGAGAAAAAAGAGAAACAGACAGAGAGAAAGAGAGAGAACAGACAGAGAAAAAGAGAGAGAAACAGACAGAGAAAGAGAAGAACAGACAGAGAAAAAAGATAGAAACAGACAGAGGGGAAAGAGAGAAGAACAGACAGAGAGAAAGAGAGAAACGACAGAAGAAGAGCAGAGAGAAACGCAGAGAAGAGAGATAAACAGACAGAGGGAAAGAGAGAGAAACAGACAGAGAGAAAGAGAGAGAAACAGACAGAGAGAAAGAGAGAGAAACAGACAGAGAGAAAGAGAGAGAAACAGACAGAGAGAAAGAGAGAGAAACAGACAGAGAGAAAGAGAGAGAAACAGACAGAGAGAAAGAGAGAGAAACAGACAGGAAAGAGAGATAAACAGACAGAGGGAAAGAGAGAGAAACAGACAGAGAGAAATAGAGAAAAACAGACAGAGAGAAAGAGAAAACAACAGAGAGAAAGAGAGAGAAACAGAGAGAGAAAGAAGGAAACAGACAGAATAGAAAGAGAGAGAGAAGAAGAGAGAGGAAGAAGAGAAGAAAGATGAAAGCAAAAGAGAGAGAGAGATGACAAGAAGAAGAGAAACAGACAGAGAGAAAGAGAGAGAGGGAGAGAGGAAAGAAAAAGATATAGAGAGAAACAGAGGCAGAGATAGAGAGAGAATGAGAGAGAGAGAAAGAGAGAGAGGGGAAGAGAAAGAGATAGAGAGAGAGTGCAAGAAGAAGAGAGGAGAGCGGTAGTAGTACTTCTGTTATTTGATGTCCTGGGTCTGTGTTATATATCAGCTTAGAGCAGCCAATTTAGCCCTGTGTCAACACATTCTACTTTGATGAATCACTACCTAGCACCAATGAAAGAAGGGAAGAATGGAAGAATTGAGAGAAGAGGAGGATTTTCAGAGGAAAGAGAGAGAAATTAGACAGATATATGGATATGCGGCTGAGTGGTGGTATTAACTTGTTGCTAGAGAACTGTTTAATGGGACTTCACATGATGGGATTTAAATCTCATAGTTAGACACTGAGGACAGTTAGTAGTTCACTGAGGTGTTTGAAGAACAAACTGATGATGATGATTTTAAGTTCTTTGGAACCATAAACCTGATTTATCCACACTCTCCTCTGACCAACGCCAAACACCAAGCGCTCTTGATCGTAGCCTAAGGCTAACATCCTGGCCTTGTGAACCAGGCTTCAAGACTCTTCTATAATGTGTTGTCAGACACACAACTCATGAGACTACTAGTCTAAGATACTAAAACTACGCAATATTAGAATCGCTTAGACCTTAACACTAACCTCCCCTCTCTTCTTTCTCTCTCTACTTTCCCCACTCCATCTTTCTCCTCTCCAGGTATCATCTCAGTAGACAATCGTCGTACTCCGTTCACGGCCAGCGGAGAGAACGAAATCTTAGACCTGGAGGGAGACCTCTACCTGGGTGGTCTCCCTGACAACCGGGTAGGCCTGGTGTTACCTACCGAACTGTGGACAGCCATGTTGAACTACGGCTACGTGGGCTGTATCCGGGACCTCTTCATAGACGGCCGCTCCAAAAACATCCGGGCCATCTCGGAGTCTCAGAACACCACAGGCATCAGGCCCACCTGCAGTAAAGTCACGGGGAAACAGTGTGATAGCAACCCCTGTAAGAATAACGGAGTCTGTAAGGAAGGATGGAACCGGTTTATCTGCGACTGCACCGGGACTGGGTTCTGGGCCACAACGTGTGAGCGAGGTGAGTCTGCTGCTTACTTCCTGTTTGGAAAACTGATTGTTGTCATATGCACGTCTCATTCATTTCAGTGCTGGGTGAACGTTCAGGCATTCTTGAGGTTTTCTCCTTGTTATGTTTACACACACTGGGTTAGCACTGGGTTGATTGAGTTGCATTGGCATGCTGCGTTTGATAGTGCTGTGTGATTGGAGATTGTGATGGTAATCGAGATGGGACAGTTTTGTTTGCTTGTGTCTGAAACAAAAAAATTACAAGCTTGGCCTACGCTCTTTAAAGGAGCCGAGGTGGAAGTGAATTACAAGCTTTATGTTGTGTTGAGAGAGCCTTTCTACTAACTAAACTATAGAGGTTCCGACTGGTTTGGATCAAGTTACTTTATTAGCGAGGAACGTTCTCTTCACTAAACCAAACTCTAGAACTTGTGTTAGTTCAGCCAATTACAGAAGTGTGTTTGTCTAGCAAGGGACATTACAGTCAGTGTTCTGTTTTTAGCCTGATGGGATTATGAGAGGAAGGAAGTGGAGGAGTGTGACTTGGGACAGCTCCTTGTATTTATGGAGGCTTAGCTGAAAGATTTAATAGGATTTCACTTTTCCGCCAAGTGGCTTTTGCGCATGGTGCTGTCTTTTCTTCTGAAGGGGCTCCAGGAGGGGAACTGAACTGGGTCTTGACACACACTAGCCACACACACACATGCACACGCACACACGCGCGCACACACACACACCAGAGGCTTGGTCTTGGCTGGGGGTGAAAATGGTCTCCCCATGTCCGGCATTAAGAGCTCCACTGCATTTTATGACACATCGACTGAAGATAGGCCCACTCTGAGCTGTTGGGTGTGTGTGTTTGTGTGTGTGTGCGTGTGTGTGTGTGTGTGTGTGTGTGTGTGTGTGTGTGTGTGTGTGTGTGTGTGTGTGTGTGTGTGTACAATGGTATCAGAGTATTGTTCTCCTGGATTGTCTCTCTTTTTCAATTTTACCAGGGATCTGCCAGATGGGTTTAGGTATTTTATAAGAACTACAATCTTGTGAAAATACATAGTTTGTAGCGAGAGCATAATTACTTTTTGGAGCTGGTTGTTGCCACTTAACACAGCTTTAGTGGAGAGTCATAGATAGGCTGGGAGGTTTTAATGATAAAAACAATTAGCATTTTATGGCAAGATTTCTAGTACTTCCAATTTGGTTAAAAGCTTATAAGCTCCAAATTGGAACAACATAATATGGCGATACTGGAGGCAATTTATTGGACAACTTTGAATCCTAAATGTTTTTTTAAATACTTCAAAATTCAACAGTGAAAATATTTTATTTCTCTCATATGAACAAGCTTCTCTCTCTTTCTCTCTCTCTCTTTTGCTCTCTCTCTCACGGGCAGCAACATCTCCCATGAGAGAGAGAGAGAGAGAGAGAGAGAGAGAGAGAGAGAGAGAGAGAGAGAGAGAGAGAGAGAGAGAGAGAGAGAGAGAGAGAGAGAGCGAGAGAGAGAGAGAGAGAGAGAGAGAGAGAGAGAGAGGAAAGGCAGGCTGTACGATCGCGTTAACCTTGCCTCAGTCCTGGATAGCCAGCTATTTTTGTACCACTCCGAGGCTCTGTCTGTGTGTGCGTACTAATGGGAGGCTGATGGGAAAGCACTGCCAGACCACACACACAGAGAACATACACACACGCACACACACAAGCATGCACACATGCTCGCTTGAATGCACACACAGACAGAGACACACACACAGAACACTGCTGCCGGAGGGGTGGAGGGACGGAGGGACAGACATGCTAACACAGCACTGCACCACTCTGCCGTTCCACCCGCAGAAAAAGAAAGTGCAGACATGTTCCTACCACTCATTCTCTCTCCATCCTCCTCCATCCATCCCTCCCTCCCTCCTCCACATCCTGTCCTCCATGACAATGCTAGCTGGCCTTGCAGTGGGTGGTGGACATACTACATGTCTGGACACTGGATTCTTCTTACCCATATAGAGAGATGGTGTTCTGATGTATAGGGCCTGTGGCTGCTGTAGTTTCTTTGCCTGAAGGCTGCTGTTGTTGTATATCTGACACATACAGTAGTATGGCTGTGGTTGTTGTAGTTTTTAGTAATTATTGGTATTCTGGACATCTCAGTGGTTGCCAGGTCTGCCTGTGTTACCCTTGCCTGGTCCTAAATCTTTGATCCTGATTTAATCCAGGAAACCCCCCATTTAACGGTAGTGGGCAAGATGCTTGCATCATCACTGTTACAACACAACCACATAGATAAGCCTATGCCCTCACAATACACAGTAGATAGGCCTATGTCCTCACAATACACAGTAGATAGGCCTATGCCCTCACAATACACAGTAGATAGGCCTATGTCCTCACAATACACAGTAGATAGGCCTATGTCCTCACAATACACAGTAGATAGGCCTATGCCCTCACAATACACAGTAGATAGGCCTATGCCCTCACAATGCACAGTAGATAGGCCTATGTCCTCACAACACACAATAGATAGGCCTATGTCCTCACAATACACAGTAGATAGGCCTATGTCCTCACAATACACAGTAGATAGGCCTATGCCCTCACAATACACAGTAGATAGGCCTATGTCCTCACAATACACAGTAGATAGGCCTATGTCCTCACAATACACAGTAGGTAGGCCTATGTCCTCACAATACACAGTAGATAGGCCTATGTCCTCACAATACACAGTAGATAGGCCTATGTCCTCACAATACACAGTAGGTAGGCCTATGTCCTCACAATACACAGTAGATAGGCCTATGTCCTCACAATACACAGTAGATAGGCCTATGTCTTCACAATACACAGTAGGCCTGTCTTCACAATACACTCTAGTTCTATGAGTATTCCTAGCCACGTAGGTCTCTGATGTGTTATGGGATTGGGGCAGCGGTTTTAATGTTGAATGATGATACATACATTCAGGGTGAACAGGGACATTTCTAATTGTTATGATGCAGTATTATTATATGCTGTTTATGCAGCGTTTGGGGGCGTTTGTGAGTCTAGGACGTCTGCGTTGCTGCAGCTGCTGTTGTTGTTGTTGTTGTTGAGTCTGGTCTTGTCTTCTTGCTTACTTTATCTCTTACACAGATGTCAGCGGGGTCCTGGGGAGGGAGGGAGGGAGGGAGGGAGAAAGGAAGGAGCGAGGGAGAGAGGGAGAGAGAGAGATGCTGAGATGTTATTAACATCCAGGGCTTGGTATTGATTTAAAACACAGTTATACAGCACACTACAGTGGAGTAGACAAAACAGTGCTTTTCACAAACTCAAAGATCAATCGACTCTGTGGGATATCCCAGCAAGAGGTTAACTGTCTGTCTTGGTAGTCTTTTTGACTGCAGACACTCTAATGGAGAGAGCTTTGAGTCCCGTAGATATTTGTTGGTTTGTATCATGTTTCTTGCCTTCAATGGCATAAAATAATGGTACGATAAAACCAAGAACAGGTCACAAAATAAAAGGATGACTAAAACAACCTCTCAGTCTTTGGTAGAAAATAGCCTTGTATTCAGTACTGCTCAAAAGAAACCCTTTGGTTCAGAATATTTATCCTGAGCTGTATGTTGACTATTAGATCAAAGAAGGATCAGGCTTGGGAGCAGCAGATTCAGCCTGACATCCTCCTACTCTTGTTTGCTACGTTTCCTCCTGTACCTGTGCCATATTTGGACATGTTTTACCCCTCTCTATTTGAGGTGTGCCCAAAAGGTATGACAGCACCTGCGGTCAGAGGTGTGCTACGCGATGTCGCTTTCACAGAGACAGATGTTGTGTCAGCGGGTGTTCAAGTTAGTCACAGTGTGTGTGTGACATCTGCACGAACATCTGAGTGCATGTGTGTGTGCCTGTTTGCTCGTCAGTGTGTGTGTGCGCGTTTGTGTGTGTGCGTGTGTATCTGTGCACACAACTGTACGTGCCAGCCAGTGTGTGTGTATCTCTGCTGCCAGGCTCTGAGTGTGCCAGACCTCCAGCTCCATACAGGCAGAGGCCCTCCAAGGCCCTGGCCCAGACAGGTCTCCCCTCGACAGGGCTGTGACCCGGGGCAGAGACCTTCCAACCCTCCATGCCTGTGATCTGCATTCAAATGGGACTCTGCTGCCTGGTAGACTGCATACAGAAGACAGTGAATATTGGGTTTTTATTTGCGGAGTCTGTGCTGCCTCTCTGGATGGTGAGCCAAGAGAAAAGAAAGAGAATATCCTCTCTCTATTTGCTGCTTACTAACATAAGTGTTATTGAAGCTAGTGCTGCAATACAGTTAAAGCATTTAAATAATATCCACAAGTGAAATTCTTGGTAACTGACATTTTCTGACCTAATGGAAAAATACATAGAGAGAGACGAGCAACAAGACACAAAAGGAAGAAGGAGAATATCATTCATCTCTTTTCAATGTCTGCCTCTGTCTAGAAAGCTTGGGGTGCCATTCATTTTTTATCATTATATTCCACTACATGAAAAGGTTATCCAGAAAGCTAATATTCTCCTTACTGAAAATGCATCTCAGGTACGAAAAAGGAGTTTCTCTGAATAAACCTTCCTTTGACAGTAATAGCAACATCAAACCAACAGACGTATCTCAATAGATAGATCAATGTCAACATGTAGACATGAAACATATTATGTAACCAAAGTCTGGAAATATACAGTATTTCATCACCTAGCCTAGCGTAGCCACCACATAACTCCTCACCCAGTCAGAATCATTGTGTTTACATTTACATTTACATTTACGTCATTTAGCAGACGCTCTTATCCAGAGTGACTTACAAATTGGTGCATTCACCTTATAGCAAGTGGGATAACCACTTTACAATATGTTTTTTTTTTTTCTTTCTTTCTTTCTTTCTTTGGGGTGGGGTAAGGGGGGGTAGAATGATTGCTTTATCCTATCCCAGGTATTCCTTAAAGAGGTGGGGTTTCAAGTGTCTCCGGAAGGTGGTGAGTAACTACGCTGTCCTGGCGTCGTGAGGGAGCTTGTTACATTTACATTTACATTTACGTCATTTAGCAGACGCTCTTATCCAGAGCGACTTTGTTCCCTCACGTTAGTACTAAGGCGTAAGCAGGAGGCTATAAAATCAATGGCCTTTCAGTGTTGACTAACCTGAGTCTGTTTTATAGCAGTGGTTTGAGAAGAGAAGGAGTAGGAGAGGCTGAGGGAGGGAGTCTGGTGTTTGGGGGCTTGATGTTGAGTCACTGACAGACACACTAGGCAGCTACCTGCTGAGCAGAGTGCTGGTGGAAAAGTAGCCTTGTTAATCACGTAAGTAGGCCTGTAATGAAGTGAGTGTCAGTGGAGGAGAGGAGGAGGATGAGGAGCATTGGGCCAGATCCCATTGAGACTATCCTCTTTCGACTGCCTCTATCGTTCCTATTTCTCAGCCTCTCTTCTCATTCTTTCGCTCTCTTTCTCTCACTCTGCCATCTTCCCTCTTTCTGCCCCCCCCCCCCCCCCCCCTCTATCGCTCACCCCTCGCTCCCTCAATTTCTCCAGTCTCTCTCTCTTTAGACTCAGTAGATGTATTGGATTGTGTCTGTTGTATATTGTATTCTCCCTGGCAAGTCTCTACCGCCCACACTGCTCTCACTGTATTCTCTAATGCTGTAGATGTGTAGAGATTATTTAATGATTTTTAATGATTTTTTATGAGGATCCCCATTCGCCGACGCCAATGGCGACAGCTAGTCTTCTTTATATATATTATAAAAAATAACTACAACTAAAGACAGACAAATATACTAAATAATCGCCCCGACAACAGGGTTCAATTAATGGCAAATCTCTCCTAGAGTCTCCTATAGTCCTAGAGGTTTAGATCAGCCATCGCCCAGTGGTCAATCAACTGGAGATAAGGGAAATACTAGCTGGATATTGGCACAATCTGTATAATTGATATCTTAATTTCTTGTTCTACATACACATGCACAATACGGTTTGGGTGAGTCATCTCAGTTACATTTCAAAGCTTGTTTGAGTTGGTATAGTCCTTTATTTTCAATACGAGTTAGTTTTTCCTGGTAGAATTGAGGAAGCTTGTATGAATTGATTCAAGGATGTGTGTTTTATAATTTCATGAGAGAGAAATTGATGTCTGGAGTTGAGGGATCAACTCAACTTATGGACTGTCTGGTTAAAATATACAAAACTGTCTGAATGAAACTACATTTCCAGACACTCTGCTGTTCAGTTGATTGAGTGTGAAGAACTGCTGAAAAACATAGCCATTCAATAAGAAGATAATATTATAATACACTATCGTCAATGTACTTGCATTTTTAAACATAATTCCCATGATATTTGGTTAGAGCAAAGTGCCTATCAAACTATGAGGTGAACAATACAATAAATCCTCTTCCACCTTCCTTCCATATCAAGATTAATATTATCTCAATGTCCTTGAAGGAAGTCTAGGGAACTATTTTCTTGTAAAGCGTAAAACACCACACTCCCATCTCCTTACGCCAGACAGAAGTTGAACTTCATGGAAAGGTCAGGCGTTGTGTGTGTGTGTGTGTGTGAGTGTATGTGTATGTGTGTGTGTAAAGCCCTCTTGGCTCTCGTATTGTGGTTGTTTAGAGTGACTCAGTAGGTGCAGTGCCTTGCAAAAGTATTCATCCCCCTTGGCATTTTTCCTATTTTGTTGCATTACAACCTGTAATTTAAATGGATTTTTATTGGGATTTCATGTAATGGACATACACAAAATAGTCCAAATTGGTGAAGTGAAATGAAGAAAAATAACTTGTTTCAAAGAATTCTACAAAATAAATAACTGAAAAGTGGTGCGTGCATATTTATTCACCCCGTTTGCTATGAGGCCCCTAAATAGGATCTGGTGCAACCAATTACCTTCAGAAGTCAGTTAAATAAAGTCCAACTGTGTGCAATCTAAGTGTCACATGATCTGTCACATGATCTCAGTATATACAGTGGGGAAAAAAAGTATTTAGTCAGCCACCAATTGTGCAAGTTCTCCCACTTAAAAAGATGAGAGAGGCCTGTAATTTTCATCATAGGTACACGTCAACTATGACAGACAAAATGAGGAAAAAAAAAATCAAGAAAATCACATTGTAGGATTTTTAATGAATTTATTTGCAAATTATGGTGGAAAATAAGTATTTGGTCAATAACAAAAGTTTCTCAATACTTTGTTATATACCCTTTGTTGGCAATGACACAGGTCAAACGTTTTCTGTAAGTCTTCACAAGGTTTTCACACACTGTTGCTAGGGTATTTTGGCCCATTCCTCCATGCAGATCTCCTCTAGAGCAGTGATGTTTTGGGGGCTGTCGCTGGGCAGCACGGACTTTCAACTCCCTCCAAAGATGTTCTATGGGGTTGAGATCTGGAGACTGGCTAGCCCACTCCAGGACCTTGAAATGCTTCTTACGAAGCCACTCCTTCGTTGCCCGGGCGGTGTGTTTGGGATCATTGTCATGCTGAAAGACCCAGCCACGTTTCATCTTCAATGCCCTTGCTGATGGAAGGAGGTTTTCACTCAAAATCTCACGATACATGGCCCCATTCATTCTTTCCTTTACACGGATCAGTCGTCCTGGTCCCTTTGCAGAAAAACAGCCCCCAAAGCATAATGTTTCCACACCCATGCTTCACAGTAGGTATGGTGTTCTTTGGATGCAACTCAGCATTCTTTGTCCTCCAAACACGACAAGTTGAGTTTTTACCAAAAAGTTCTATTTTGGTTTCATCTGACCATATGACATTCTCCCAATCCTCTTCTGGATCATCCAAATGCACTCTAGCAAACTTCAGACGGGCCTGGACATGTACTGGCTTAAGCAGGGGGACACGTCTGGCACTGCAGGATTTGAGTCCCTGGCGGCGTAGTGTGTTACTGATGGTAGGCTTTGTTACTTTGGTCCCAGCTCTCTGCAGGTCATTCACTAGGTCCCCCCGTGTGGTTCTGGGATTTTTGCTCACCGTTCTTGTGATCATTTTGACCCCACGGGGTGAGATCTTGCGTGGAGCCCCAGATCGAGGGAGATTATCAGTGGTCTTGTATGTCTTCCATTTCCTAATAATTGCTCCCACAGTTGATTTCTTCAAACCAAGCTGCTTACCTATTGCAGATTCAGTCTTCCCAGCCTGGTGCAGGTCTACAATTTTGTTTCTGGTGTCCTTTGACAGCTCTTTGGTCTTGGCCATAG